TTTACTATTAAATTGAAATGAAGTGGAATGATGTACAGTTATAGTACAAGTATGAGTAGATATATGTATGTATGGCATTAAGATTCTTAACATATATATGTATATATAATCTTACATATTATAAATGTGTTCATAGCAAAGTAGAATCTGATAAGAACATCTCTACGTGACTGTTTATTTGGATTAATTAACTCCTATTTGCCCAAAAGATATGCTTAGAAAAATTGCCCACTTGTTCGGACATCATTTTCTCAAAGCCACCAAATTTTCTTCCAACTTTTCTTCATAATATATTCTGTAGACCTCATTAACACATGAAAAATAATAATTTATTTTATACATTTTCCTTCGAAAGACTATTTTTTCATTAACATGCTTTTAAAATAAAAGTAAAACTCAATTGAAAGATATTAAAATTAACTTAGTTATTAAACCTGTAAACAAACAGCAGGAGAACTACTCCCATATTTTAGATTATGTTGTAAATGATTAATGATGGAAAGAAAGATGATGTCCCTCCACACAAAACATCACACACTGTATCATTCATCTCTTTCTTTGTCTCTGTTAACATCATTACATTGCAGATGGATTTTCATCTCCACATTCAATCATTCTCTTACTACTTTCATTCAAAATTCTCATCCTCTTCTCTAATCCATCACTTCATAATTTCTTCAACTTTTTTAACAGATCTATTCAAAACATACAATATTATTAACACACCATTATGTCAGAGTTTAAGTAAAAATCATTCATATTTGTAAAGTTGTATTTTGATTAATGGGGAATTGTGTACTTTTAATATTTTTCAAAACATAAAATATTGAAACTAGGAATTTGAATCTAGCAATATTCTTGAAGAGCATGATATGAAGTCGGCTAGGAATTCTCAAACTTTAGCTAACCTCTTTCGGCAACTTGCTCCACTTGGATTTATTCACTTAATTTTATGACTTTATATCACATTTTTCTTCTTTTAGTTTAAGCAAAAGTTCACGATAAAAAAATATATAACTTTTCAACAAATTAAATTCACACACTAATGATTTTTAATCAGAAGAGGAAATTTCCATTTTCATAGTCTTTGTCATTCTTCTTTAGGACACTGTCTTCATTCTCACATGTTTAATACTTTTCCATTTTACCATTCAAAATTTTAAGCACGTTTACCCTTAAAACAAGGACCTTGTCTCTTAATTTTTTCACCTTCAAAATTAGTAGGTTAGAACATTTAAAGGGTATGACTATTCCCACATCACTTTTTCTCCCACTCACTTACCCAACTTTATATATATATATATTTTAATTTTAAAATGAAGCAAATTGCAGTGTTTTGTAAAAGCAGAAAGACAAGTAGATGAACATGGTTTAGTTTTTGGAGGCTCAAGTTTATCCATTAGCATAAAGCAAAAGCTAAAGCATAATAATAAATAATAAATAATAAAAATAAATAATAATAATAATAATTAACAAATTACTTACATTATCCAGAAAGGCATATATGGTGGGACCCATCTCTCCAGCTTACGTGTTCAACCCTCCCACCAGATCCTTCCACCTGTCCATCCAACTCCACCACGCAACTATAACCAAGAAGGTTCATGAACCGGGACCCACATTTTATCCATTAACATCACGTGATGCCACGTGCCTTCCAGACGGCACCACGCACGCCGTTTCCCACCGCAAACGGAAATTCTCAATCTGCCCACGCTACACGACATAAAAGGCCCATGCTTTTGTTTTCAACTCGAGGGTGTGTTTGTAATTACGCCTCCCGCTTGACCCAGCTGTCGTGTTTTAAATACGGCGTCGTTTCGTACGCGGCACGTGACAGTCAGCCATTGAAGAAAGAGACGAAACATTGGTTTTCCTCAGCGCCCGCCGTTGCATTGCTCAAGTGTTGCTAAAGGATTTATCATTTCTTGTTCTGAAAATCGGAGTCAAACTCTGCTCGTCGTGTTTGTCATAGCTTCTGTTTGTTTGAATCAGCGGCATGGTTCAGCTTATGAGGTCTGATACAGATAATCAATGTCTGAAAAAGGTGAAGATGGAGGTTCAAGATGAAATTCCCCCTCTTCACACCCACAAGCGACCCAAATTGGAAACACCCCCCAAGGTTTAATTTTTCTCCTTTAAATAGTTTTTTTTTTGTCCAATTTTCTGATGCCCATCACCAATTTCGTCTATGGGTAGTTTGTTTCTGTTTTGTTTTCTCTTGATTGAATTTTTTCTTTGGGTTTGAAACAGTGTGATTCTAGTGATGATTCCCTTTCGATTCCACCAACTTCGTATAATCTCTTGGATGAGCCAAGCCCTTTGGGTTTGCGTCTCAAGAAGAGTCCTTCCCTGTTGGATTTGATTCAGATGAGGCTCTCCCAACAAGAGGAGTCCAAGAAGAAAGATCACAAGGTTTCTGCTGCCTCTGCTGCGGCGGATTCTAAACTCAAAGCCTCCAATTTTCCTGGAACCATTTTGAAAATCGGGACCTGGGAGGTATGCTTGGAATTTTGTTGAATAGCATGTAATATGATTATTACAATACAAACAGACATGATGTGATATTGTGATTGATGTGCATATGGTGATTCGTGCAGTACAAGTCTAGATACGAAGGAGACTTGGTGGCGAAGTGTTACTTTGCGAAGCATAAGCTGGTATGGGAAGTCCTTGATGGCTGTCTGAAGAATAAAATTGAGATCCCCTGGTCTGATATCATGGCTCTCAAGGCAAATTACCCTGAGGATGGACCAGGCACGCTCGAAGTAGTGGTAAACCATAAACGATCTCCTTTGTTTTTATTTTGATTGTTATGTTAATTTGACTTGGCATCACAATTATCTGTGGCACTAAGTTGGTGTTCCTTTTGTTGGTTGTAGCTGGCAAGAAGACCTCTGTTTTTTAGAGAGATCAATCCACAGCCAAGGAAGCATACCTTGTGGCAGGCAACATCAGACTTTACTGGTGGACAAGCCAGCCTGAACAGGTACTGTTATATTTTGTATTTGGTCTTCTTTTGGTGGTTTGTTACGTTGACTCCTTGGTGATGGTGATGCAATTCTCTTTATTGTTACAGGAGACATTTCCTACAGTGTCCACAAGGATTGCTAGGCAAGCATTTTGAGAAGCTCATTCAGTGTGATCCACGTCTCAACTGTCTGAGCCAGCAGCCGGATTTGGTGTTGGATTCTCCATATTTTGATCCCGGAACAAGTTCAATTCACGATCACATTGAAACAAGTGATGGTTTTGATAGAAAAAGCGAGGAGAGAGGTGGGATTTTTGCACTGCAGGATGTAGAGTCAGGATCTGCAGTCCAATCGTCTTCCTCAAAAAGTGAACCTAATCTTGGTAAAGCTGTGGAAAATGTTTCCCAAGAAATTACCTCACCTAGCCCAGGTAATTGCTGCCCAAAATTTTCAATGCCATTTAAATTCAGTATAATGGTAATTGCACTTTTTTGTTTATCCTGGGCTATCCATTAAACTTACACCATATATATGTTACCCTTATCAATGCGGGTACAAACTTGTAGGGTTTTTCTCATGGTAAAAAGTAAAACTCACAAACTGTACACTACTTAATGGCTATGTTTATCTCAACATTACACAGAAACAAAAGAATCTGAGTTATATTTTATGCTATAACATACGTCTCTTTTTAATATTATGTTCAGCCCCCTCCCTATCATATGTAGTACTATAATGATATAAAGAATATGGTACGTGTTAGTAAACTGTGAATCATATTTTATATTTATTCTGTATGCCTCATGTTATCATCATGCAAATATTATATTAATGCCGTTTGTTTCATGTGCAGTGATGAACATCCATGCAATGAAAGATTTCAGGAGTAGAGGAGCTGAAACTTTGAAGTTTCTTAGTAATTTGGATCAGATCAAATTGCCTGGACTTCACCCTTCGATGTCAATGGACGATTTGGTAAGCCACATTGGACATTGCATTTCAGAACAGATGGGATCTGACAATCCCAATTTTGCTGGTGATGGCCAGTATAGCAGATCTATTCTGGAAGAATTTACTCAATACTTGTTCAATGACTCTCAACATGCAACTACCTCTGATGAACAGCGTGTGATGTCAAGGGTGAACTCACTGTATTGTCTTCTGCAGAAGGACCCTTCTACAGCAGAAGACGCGAACACAATGGCCAAAAATGGCAATGGTCTGAGAGATGCAAATGTGATGTCAAGGGTGAACTCACTATACTCCCTTCTGCAGTGTGCAGAGGACACAATGACCAGAAATGGTAATGGTCCGAGGGATGCAGACGTGCTGTCTAGGGTGAACTCACTGTACTGTCTCCTGCAGAAGGATACTGCTGCAGCAGAAGACTCAAATACAATTACCAGAAATGCCAATGGTCTTGATGCAGATGACAGTGGAAAAGTTGGTGTGAGCAACTCCAACTCCACCCAATTGTCCCCAGGCAAAACTAAAGTGGCTGATTTGGAAAGTCAACCTGATGATGCTTCTTGCAAGCAGGGGGGGACTGGCATGTCCAGAAAGGAATCATCTGGCGATTTGCTTCTCAATCTTCCAAGGATCGCATCTCTGCCTCAGTTTTTGTTTCACATGTCTGAGGATTCTGTTCATAAAGTTAGATAATTACCATCTACCTGAACTTGCTAGTTGCAAGAAACCCAAAAGCTATATTATCTATATAGTTTTCAACCGTGTGAATATTGTATCTGCAGTTTTTTGCATGGATTCAGAAATTTACATTGATGATGAATCCTGACAGATGACGGCACAACATGGTATTTTCAGCTAAAAAAAAGTACAAAATAGAATATGTGGAAATTACGCGTGTAACAAAATTCGTCGCCACCTTGGTTTTGTTTTTAAATTGTAGCGTAAAATGTTAATGGTAACATGCTCGCAGATGAAAAAGTAATGACTGTGATCTTTATTGAACTGTGATCTTTATTTAACTAAGCTACTTTATGAACTAGGCAAGTATATAAATTACAATAAATTACAATAAATTACAATGCTTTTTTATAGTTTAAAAGAGTAACAAGTTATAAATTAACAACCACACAGTCACTACAAAGATTTACAATTTTTTTCTTTTTTGAGATAAACGAATAGTTTGCTCATTGCGATTTGATCCATTTGCCCCCAAATATTACTATATGCACTCTAATAACTGCATAGACATTATGACGAACAAAACCTACAAAAAGAATTTGACACACACAAGCACACATAATGTACTATGGTAAACTTCAAGGTTCATCCGGGCCTTCCTCTCCCATTTGTTCTGCCTCTTGTAACATGTTCATGAGCATGTTCACTTGTTCTTGAAGCATTGCATTCTCTCTTTCAACTCGAGCACGTTTGCTTCGTTCATCCACAAGCTGAAGTTGCAAGTGCTCCAAGCAACGTGAGTCCTCCTCCAGTTGTTCATTTAGTCCATCAATTTCCCTGTCCTGTGACAACAACAACAACAATGGCAGAAAGTGAGCAAGTGGCTTGAATTTTAGGCCTATAAGTTAATAATTGTGTCTTGGCTTGGAAATTAAGGGAGCTGAAGAAACTTTGAACCTTTCTGTTCATTTCTTGGATGGCAATCCTTCGCATGCTTTCAACAACATCTACATTGACAAGCTTTCGTTTCTTTCCAATCAACCAGCCCTTAGGATAGTTTGCAGATTCAAAGTCAGGGGGAGGAAGTAAAGACTCAGCCGAGGGTCGTCGGCCATTAACATTCTTTATAGGTTCTAATGGTTCAAACATGGCCTTTCGACGCTCAGAAATTGGAGTTGTGTTCTGCACCTCCTCACTAGAAGAAGAAGAAGGAGGAGGAGGAGTAGGAGTATCTTCCTGCTTGCTGGGTGGTGTATTAGCAGTATCTTCTGATACCTCTAAATTCCTCCCGCTAGCTGTGGGCAACAAGTTACCATTTTTGTTTTTGGCAGCTCATCATTTACAATGCACGACAAAGTCAAACGTATGGAAAATCTCGTTTGCCAAAGTACTCATGTTCATTGCACTCAACAAACACATCTAATGATACGAGACTAATTACTACATGAATGTTATCCAAGAAATTATTAGGTAGTTGTTACAGAAGATAATAAACTTATCACTCTCTATATATAATATAATGATTTGTGATTGAACTAACAGTATGAATCTATTTTCTGCATAAAGAACAGAGTCCTTTTTTCTCTGCAGATTTTTGGATTGGCTTTGATATAGTTGAGTAGGTATACCAAAAGGAAGATGCCTACTTAAATGCTAACACAAACACATTGAGAACAAAAGAAAAATTACAAAAAGGTAATATTGACAAGCTTAAACGTCCCATCAGTAACAAGAGGAGCATCAACTTGAAATTCAGATATGCAAGGATAGGAAACCATAATTAAGGCTATTTTGTTATTGTGTAGAGGGTTGGTTGGAGGGTGAGCTGTCATACAGAGAAACCAATGATACGATGATGACTACATAATCTCAACAGCCACATACATTTTCTATTTCCCCTTTTTCCCTACCCTTCACAGAATGCAATAAATCATCAGTATTTATATCATCACAGATAAAGCCTTTTACCAAGATGCATAAACTTAGGTGAAATTTATAGAGTTAGTTCTCAATTATGAGGTACTAATCACCTGACAAGTTGCATAACAGTTTTGATCCTTTCATCTTGTTGAATCCATAATTTTAATATTCCATTCTCAAACAAGCTCATTTAGTTTTTGGGGTCAAAAATCAGTTCTTTTTATTTAATAAATTAAGTATAAAAAATTATTATTTTATTTAATAAAAAAATATTATTTTTAGAAGTAAGGAACTAATTGTTATTATTATTACTATCATGATATTTAAAAATGGGATGAGCAAAACTAGGGAGCACAATAGGGGACCAAAGTTGAACTTTACCCTAAAAAACAACAACGTAACATAAAAGTCATACCAACCGTTAAAACCCATTTTACGCTTCCTCTATCTGAAACAGTGGCCAATTTTGCAGAAATCACAGAAACCATAATCAAATAAGGAACTACCATCAGTTCCAAATCATGTAAATACACAAATTTTCCTACTTTATTTTCTTTTCTGTGAAAAAAAAGATAAGAATTGACAGAGGGCATCTAAATATCGAAAAACCCATGCAAAAATCAACAAAACCATTGAATTCTATTTCCAAATCTGAGCAACATGAGACGAAAATGGCACAGAAGAGAAAGTAAAGTGCAGCAATTACCAAATTGTTTGGAACAACACTAAGTAACAGACAAGGTAAATTAGGGATGGG